AGTGAAAAGAAAAAGACAATCAAGGACAAACTGGTCATTTCTTTTTTTTTCCAAATTATATGTTAATTTCAATGAATCACATAACTATGAACACAATGAATGAATACATCATATACACTAAAGAGAAATGTTTATTCGTTGTTTTATCCCATCCAAAAAAGTTTTATTCAGTCTCACATCCAATAATATTAGTTATTTAAGCATCAGAAGGGGTTTTGTGGAGATTGTAGTAAGTTAATAGTTGAATTAATGAGTCAGTTGAAGCTAGACAACCATGGAAAACCTAGAAGCACTGAACTATTGAAATTACGACAATCTTCACAAAACCCCTTCTGATACTAGTCAACATATGCTCACTAATGACTGGTTTCAAGAGGTATATCCTGGAGTTCTATTGAGAAGCCCTGATCAGTGGAGTTCAACCAAGTCTGTTGTTAGATAGTAACTCACTGATGACAATGGTGGATGTGTCACTCAAGTTGGTGGATTAGTTGAAGTTGGATATGAACACCGTTGGATGCCAGCTCAGTGGTCTAGATGTTAAGCGCTCGTGTGCGAGACTGATAGGTCCTGGGTCCGAATTACGCGAGGTGGGATCGTGGATACGCGCTGCTGAGGAGTCCCACAATAGGACGAAACGACAGTTCAGTGCTTCTAGGTTTTCCATGGTGGTCTAGCTTCAATTGACTCATGATTTCAACTATTTAAGCATCATTATATCAAGTTGTTGATATGTCAATAAACTATTAAAAATTCTAACAATAATGTAAAAGTAACAACATTGTTAAATATAAACAAACAATAAAAACCTCTTACATTAATTAGTTGTATTGTTTGTTAAGAATATCGTTTCCTGTTCTTTTATATGTAGTGTACCTTCTCCTTCTATCCTTTATTATTCTGATAAGATTCACATTGAATTATTCTTGTGCTACCCTAAATGAATGACTCATAAACATAGACATTTCTTAAACTGTTCATTGACATTCTGAAATTTATCGACGAGACATAGGAAAACATATATATGTAAAAAAAAAATAATAATAATAATACTGTCTCTTGTGTATATCTGCTTACGACCTGTATGTCTATAGGTTGAAGTGTATGGTGAGATTGCGAATAAGACTGTACTGTATCGAGAAATATATTTTTCGGTAATATTATTTTAAAAACATCGTCTTAATTTTTACTCTCTCTCTCTCTCTCTCTCTCTATATATATATATATATATATATATATATATATATATTAGTTAACTGAAACTGCTCAAAGTTATTTCGCGTTTCCATAGTTATTTTCTTATTTCCAAGTCCCTGTCAATTTGCCGTTTCTAAGTTTTAGTATACACTAAAAATGAAAATAGAAAGTAAAAAAAATAACTCCATTGTCTTATACAGTAAAAGAATAGCAAAGATGACGACAATATTGATAATAATAGTTGATTAAAGGTTTGTTGGCGTGTTTGATAGTATTTTTGACTTAATTTACAAAAATGCAATATGACTATTTTAGTTTCTATTTATTGTCGTATACACTTAGAAATTTTGAAGTAGTTTGAAGATTTAAACATCGTTGGTTATTGAACGTTTAATTTTTTTGTAAAAAAATATGTAGAGTATATGCATCTTCGAAGAAGTTCACAAATGTGTATTTGAATTAAAAACTTCAATGAGAACAGTGAAAATGCTTATATAAAATTGAATGTGAACGTATTCATTATTTGCACAAGTACTTTGAAAACAATTGCTCATTGTCTAAATGACAACCAGGAAAAGCAATAGGAAGAAAATAGAGATAACAGAACAAATCAAAGCATTATACTCAACACAATCTAAAGTTTTCCGAATAATCATTCCTACTTTTCTGTAAGATAAAACAAAATAACTCTTTAGTGTTATATATATATGATTACGCAGCTGATTTTGATAGTTTCTATGACACATTGAACTATTGTTACGCATTTCTAAATAGTTAATCAAACTCAATGCATCACGATATGTGTTATTTATAGTTCTGAAATGAAGTATCACTACCGAATTATTCAAAGAAAAAGAATGTCACAATATGATAAATTTTTTAAACTCAACTATAAATAACCATAAATAATTTATCTAACTCAGAATTATGAAGAAAGTAAGAATAATATGATTTGTAGATGATAGTAAATCCATCTTAATTTAAGTGTTCTCATAATCAGTGAATAACCTTAATTTCAAATGAATAGTTGAATTCAAAACAAAAGCTTAATGTACTTTAGTTAATGAAGCTGATATGAATCTATGAAAAAAGCTGACATTAAAACGATTGTGGCTTTTCCTCTTAACTCTTAATGCTAAATTTTAACAGTATGATCATATATATTTTTAAAAAATTGTGATTGATTTAAGCGTTAATGAATTCTATTCTAAATACGTCTAGGTACACGCTTTCTTACGTTTAAATGTATCAAGATATACTGTACTGAGAAATGAGTTATATTTGATTGTAACCATATCTCAACTTGAATCTAATCTACTTACTTACTTATTTACGCCTGTACCCGTAATCGAGCATAGGTCGCCGACCAGCATTCTCTAACCCACACAGTCCTGGGCATTCCTTTTCAGTTCTATCCAACTGTTGGTTATTCTTCTCATGTCTGTCTCCATTTCTCGGTGTAATGTGTTCTTTGGTCTCCATCTGGAGCCCCTCTGACGCTACTGCTGGTCCCAAGCCCGTATAAAAGAGGAGGGTTGGGTATAGGGTCAGCGACCCCATCCCGTAGAAAACTAACTCGCTAAAAAATCGCTAACCAGGTTACCAAACTTCAGTGGTATTAAAAAAGGAATTACTGTACTAATTATTATTAGCCTTTATGCACATTTTAGAATAACAATAATCGGTTATATCATTTTTTAAAATTATTAAAATATTATTGTGCGACAGATGTGATGCATGTGAAAGTGAGGAGTAAAAAATTGCTCAATACTGTGGGAGAGGATATGAATAACAAATTGAAAGCACAATTGTTTTTTCATATTATTTCTTCGGAATGGAGCATAAGATTTTGAAAAAAAGGAACGTTATAAACTAACACATCAAACTTAACAGTTGAGATTAATGAATATTGATATACTGAGAGTTAGTATAGATGAGCTGAGTTTACAGTTTTAAATAGTCATAGAAAACAAGTGATTTCTACATTCGACAATATGATTACGATAAAATGAACTTGATAAATTTAAATCATTTGATAGATACAAACAAGGTGGTATAGTAGATAACATTATTTCATTGTAAGCATATTTACTAAAGCAAAGAAAAATAGATTTATTATAACGTCCTATATACAAATATTAAACTGAATGCCCCTGATGGCAATAGTCTCCATAAACGTAAATTAACAAAAGAGTTCATATTGATCAACTATTGCTGTTGTATGTAAAGATTTTACGTCCTTTGAAATATACACTTCGTCAGTTAATAGTAGTAGTAATGATTGATACTACTAGTATTTTCATTATTCACTCAAAGTACATGATTTGTAATAAAACTGGTAATGAATTGAGTGTATTTTACTGTTCATATATTTTTCAATTACTAGTATGTCTGTACAAAAACTAACCTGAAATAAAATGGATTCATTCAATCTAAAAATGATATTATTCAAACGTGGAGTAATGTAAGGATTCAGTGATTATTATTATTCATTAGTAATACGTAGCTTTGATCATTCGGTAATAAATATTATATTTAATTTGACCTTAACAGTTGACTTCACTAGTCGATCTAAGTTAGACCACCACTGGACGTCCGTTTCGTCCTAGTATAGGACTCTTCAGCAGTGCTCATCCACGATCCCGCACGCAGGACTCAAACTTACGACCTTCGGTTTCCAAACCACTGAACAACCATCCGGCAGTGTTAATGTTTAACTGCAATCAATCCAAGACCTTGCGCGATCCTTCATCCACTGCCTGAGGTGGATAACTGTCTCACATTCAATACGGATTGGACTCCATCGGTTACGGTTTGTCGTTAGAACTCCAGGAAATCTATCTTGAAGCTGGTCACTAGAGAACACATGATTATTGTTCATAAGGAAACTTGTGGAGATTGTGTTAGGACGAAACTGCCGTCCAGTCCTTCCAGATTTTCAATGGTGGTCCGGCTTTAATCGATTAGTGAATTCAACTGTTAAAATACTACAGTCTCCACAGATCCCCTTACTGATTATTTTGAGTTACCAGTATTCATAAAAGTACAACAGTATATACACTTTTCATCTTGTGAAATTCCTCACCATAGTCTTATAAATCCTGAGAGTATAAAGTTATTTTCTCAAGTAAAATGTGAATAGACCATTTAAGAAGTGAATGAAGAAATTGTTTATGGAATTCATGCCTAAATAGTATAATTGATAACACAAAAGTTTTTAAAAAATGTGCTTCCTGGGTTCCATTGTTAGCCATACACGGATTATAATAAGAAATTGTGATTGAAGGTTATATTGATGTATTCAAAATGCATGAATGATAATAGAGACTGATCAGTTGCTGTTTTGAACATCATAAACCGGAAATTTCAAATTAAATGTTCAACAATTCAGTACACAATTTAATTAAAATGTAGGAGAAACAAGTGGATAGAGGGTAGGTGAACTAAAAATGAAATCAGTACTCATTTATTCCTAACTCAATTCACTTGTTACTCCTGTTTTCATACCATAAGGAAATGACAAAATATATCATCCTACGTAACCATACAAATGTTTGTGAATATATATGGTACACCTTATTTCTATTTTAGGTCTTATATCAACATCGATAAAAGCTAATGGTAATTTGATAGTGTAGTGATTTTTCAATCTCTTTCAAAGTTATAAGTGTGTATATCACATAAAATACAGTATTTATTCAGTTTGGTTTTATAAGTTAATGAAAGTATTGAATCTGTTAACCTTATAGGATTTTAGGATATGTTGAATCATATAATTTCCATTTGTTTATTGTATTTTACAGATTTCATTCAACTCAATGTTTTTATTACTTCTGTTATGCATTTCAAGTTCAAATTTAAGGGAAACCATAGCTAATTCTGCCGTTGTTGACGTTATGGAGGATGCTCGACCTGGGACAATAATCATAGATAACTTAGAGCATAGATTTCCTACACTCAATAGTGGCGAATCCAAATCTCATTATTTTGCAATTGGAAATCCATCAAGTCCTGGAATAAATAATTTGGAAATACGTCGGCATAGATTTGATAACTCTGTTCAACTTGTTGTTAAAGATGGGCAAAATGGTCCAGATCGTGAGGAACTGTGTGGAGCACGGGAAACTCAGTCCGAATCTCAAATGCCTTTTTGTGATATTCCCTTAATTATTTTACATGGTAAACGACATGAACCATCGTATGGGAAATTGACTCTCCGTATTTTAGATAGAAATGATAATAGTCCTATATTTACCAAGAGAGATACAACAGAGCTACGAATACCAGAGAATATAGAAAGTTTTGATATGATTGGCAGCAGCGCTGCGATTCATCCTCAAATTTTACATTCCAACAATAAGCCAACTTCAGGAAACCCAACTACTCTTGAACTACCCAAAGCCCATGACATAGACCTACCGGAGAATGGAGTCAAAACATATCGACTGACCACCGTTTCAGGTCACGAAATAGATAAGTCACTCTTCAACCTGATTGTGAATAATGATAACGAAAACAAAATAGGTAACAGTCTCCCAGTTCCATTCTTACGCATTGTCGGTTTACTTGACAGAGAGAAACAAGATGAATATTGGTTTCACTTACTAGCCATTGATGGGGGTAACCCGAAAAGAACAGGTACACAGACTATTCACTTAGTGGTAACAGACATTAATGACAACATTCCAAAGTTTAGAAAACCAATTTTTCACTTTCCAACATTTATATCAACCTCAGATTTGTATGGTAATGGTGCTACTCAGGAATTTTTGAAAATCCCGGAAACCCAAACACCTGGTACTCCGATTGTAACAATAATAGCTGATGATCCAGATAAAGATTTAAATGGCCAGATCACCTATCGTCTCAAAGAGTCGTTAAATGGTGATCAAAATGCAATTTCACTGCAATGGTTTGACTTGGAAACTAACAATGGTACAGCAATCTTGAAAGTTGCTAAGAAAATGGATGCAGATGATCGTCATGGAGCTAGTTGGTCTGATTTAAATAGAGAACACAGTGGTCGTTTAATAAAACTGGTTGTAGAAGCTGTAGATGCTGGATCACCTTCATTAACGGGAAGTATTGAACTATTGATTTTAGTTGAGAATATTAATGATAATGAACCTGTAATATCTGTACAATATACACAACCATTTCAAACTGAATCTGAATTTCATAATAATTTGAAAGGTAAAATTGTAGGTTGCTTACAAGAAAATCAAAATGAACCATTAACAATTGCACATTTAACTGTAGAAGATGGTGATTTTATTGAGAGCAATAGTGGGGCTATCTCAAATTTGTTAGAAATTCATTGTGAAACTAATGATACAAGGTTTTTGTTAGAAAAAGTGTCTAATTTAAACTATGCTGATCGTTCAGATTCTTATGGATTATCTACTACTCATTTTGATTCACCATTATTATTTTATAAAATGTCATCACTAAAATCGATTGATCGAGAAGCAGAACCATGGATTTTCGTAAAAGTAATCTGTGTCGATCAGGTGCAAGTAAGTTATGCATTAAGTGGATACCAAAATATTGGCAAATTGATTCAGTCGAACCGATTGACTGGAAGTACTACGGTAACTATAAAAGTATTAGATGTGAATGACAACATCCCCAAATTTTCCAGTCGTAATTATCAATTCAGTGTGTTTGAGACACCTTCGATAGCAGTGAACTCAATAAAAAATATGTTTGATGATCAGTCATCAGTTGAAATCGGTCGAGTAAATGTAAATGATCTAGATGAGGGAGTGAATAGTAAAGTTAGTTACAGTTTTTTATCAGGTGAAATTGATGCATTCAAGATTGATGAAAATACAGGAGTAATACGGAGAGTGGGTTTTATAGACAGAGAAAAAGTTCACCAAATGGAACTGGTAGTTGAAGCTAAAGATCATGGAGAACCAAGCTTAAGTAGTACTACGGTAATCAAAGTTGATGTGCTTGACGTAAACGACAATCCACCTTATTGGATTATGTCTTCTCCAAATGACAGAGACAAAGAAATTCGTCGAAGTGGATCTGAAGATGGTGTATACTACTTTTCTCTAAATGAAGATGCTCCTATAGGTAGTATAGTAGGAACTATAAGTGCAGTAGATACAGATGGTATAGCCGAAAGTGAAATGATTGAACAAATTGTAGAAAAACAAAACCCTGTAAAATCACAAAAAACTAATTTTGGAAATTTACTTGGAACATCATCTATAACTTACCAATTAGAAAATGAAGGTGATGGTAAGATATTTTCAATTAATTCACGCAATGGAGATATACGTCTTAATAAACATTTGGATCGTGAAATTCGAGCTCATTATGAATTTCGAGCTTTTGCAATTGATGATATAATAAAATCAGTTAAATCATCACAAAACAATCCATATTTAGTTAACAAATGGAAACATCAGTATACAGCTACAGCTACAATAATTATTACAGTATTAGATGTGAATGATAATCCACCAATATTTGAAACACCATTAAATGGTCAAGAATTTCATATTGAACCTGGTTCTTCAATGACTACAGCTGGTACTACATTATTCACAGCAAAAGCACATGATCCTGATGTTGGTGATAATTCATTAGTTAGATATTCTTTAGATAATAATGGTTATGGTATAGTAGAAATTGATTCAACAACTGGTGTTTGTTATTTTCGTGAAACAATACAACATTCTTTAATGACTAAATTAATTACATCTAATCAATATGCTATAAATAGTAGAACATCAAATCATTTAACTGATAGTAATTTAATTTCATCAGAAAATTTAATAACAAATCGTCAACATGAATTACATTCATTTACATTAAGTCTTACTATCATTGCTCGTGATTTAGGTACACCATATTCATTAAATAATTCACGTACAGTAAAACTTGTATGGACTACAGAATCACAAATGAAATCATTTAGTATATCAAATAATGATTTATTAAATAATAATAATAATAATAATCTATTTGGTAATATTGATTATTTATCCGATAATCGAATGACTATGAATAAATTAATTATTCCATTAATTATTGGTACTATATTATTATTATTAATTATCTTTTTAATATTATTTGGTATATTTCATTGCCGTAAACAATCACCTAAAACATTAAATAATAATAATAAACAATTATTTATTCATTCAACAGCATATTCCTCAACAAAATTAAATAAAACATTAAAACAAAATTATTTAAATGAAAATAATATAAATTCAAATCATTGGTGTTTATGTATTAATAAATATTCTAGAAAATTATCAAAACAAGAAAACGTTGATGAATTAAAAAGATCAATACAAATTCTAGAAAATACTACGAATAATAATAATAGTACAATGAATAATAGTAATGGTAATAATAATAATAATAAAATCAGTACAAATAATACACATAATGATTTTATTATAAATGATTATAGTGAATTCAATACAAGAAATAGAGATAATCATGAAAAAGAATTAATAAGAAGTAGAAATACACAAGCTGAAGTGTTTTTAAAAGCATGTCTACCAGGTAATCAATGTGTATTTTCATGTTGCTTTTTTTCTCTTTATAATGATATTTATTGTTTGATTGTATTATATTAGTTACTTACACCTGTTATTCCCAATGGAGTATAGACCGTTGACCAGCATTCTCCAACCCACGGTGTCATGGGCCTTCTTTCTAGTTCTATCTAATTGTTGTTCATTTTTCTTATGTCTGTCTCCATTTCTCGGTGTGATGAGTAATTTTGTATTCCACTTTTCCTTTGGACATGAGAATTCCAGATGAGGGGTTGGCTTGTGACGCAGTTGGGTGCTTTCATCAATATGTGTTCTATCCACTTCCAGCGCTTCTTCCTGATTTCTTTTTCCGTTGGAATCTCGTTTGTTCTCTTTCGTAGTAGGTTGTTGCTGATAGTGTCTGACCAACGGATCCGAAGTATTTTGCGTAGACAGCTGTTGATAAACACTTGCATCTTCTGGATGATGGCTTTCGTAGTTCTCCAGGTTTCCGCTTCATACAGTAGAACTGTCTTGACATTTGTATTGAAAATTCTGACTTTTGTGTTAGTTGACAGTTGTTTTGGGTTTCAGATGTTCTTCAATTGTAAATATGCTGCTCTTGCCTTGCCAATCCGCGCCTTCACATTTGCATCAGATTTACAGTGTTCACTAATTATGCTCCCCAGATATGTAAAGGTTTTTACATCTTCCAAATCTTCTTCGTCAAATGTGATTTGATTGATGCATGTTGTGTTGTATCGGAGAATCTAGTTTTCCCCTTTGTATATGTTAAGATCTACTGCCGCTGTATATACACAAATGAAAAAGCAAGATTCTTCTATACAACACAACATGCATCAATCGAATCATCTTACTTTTCTGGAAATAAAAAGAGTCTTGATAGTAATATATAGTAGTACCCAAGAGGAACTTAGCAGCAATCTAGATGAGTTACTGAAATTCTAGTGTAAAGTTATGACCAATGGAGTTCAGTTATGTGGAAAGTTCAATGTTACTAACAGCTTAAACAGAATTAATAATTTGAAACATCCCTTAAAGTTATGAGTTACCAATGTTCTTTAACTCTTTAACAGCGATTAATATAAAGAGTATATAAATGTAACGAATCAGCTAAATTGTTTTTCATAATCCTTAATAACCATGACAGTGTAACAGACAGCTTTTTTAAATAGTCATCCTAACAATTTATCTATGGATCATCATATCTGATGTTGATATGTAGTTATAGCATAACCCTTTTCTGTAACTATCATGAGGTGAAGATTTTCTCGATTCTTTAATAATCATTAGTATACTCAAGGTTTTTAAGCTGATAATAGAAAATTATTATCAAGTAGGTATTTAAAGTTCAATATATAATTTACCTTTAATTAAGTCACATTTATTGAATACCACTGATCAAGAAAATATGTTTGTTCTTTTCCTAACTTTCTTATATAATAAAACTGCACATTCAAAGTTTAACTAAATATTTTTTTCGATTGAGCACTGAACAATACGATTCCAATTATGAATATTTTTCTCACTTTCCTCAACAGAATCCGATTTAATTTAATTGTAAAACGAATTTATTGATCTTATTTGCGAAACAGACAATATATTGACAAAAGGGAGCTGTTTCGATTGAATTATCTTACAGAAACATGGTTAAAAAGTATTTTAGAAAATAGAGAAAAATGCTTGAACAAAAATTAGGTGGATACAAGATTTATTAACATTATCATGAATCTAAGCGATTTTGACAGTACTTTACAGTGGAGCTAACTGAAAGTCACACTTCTAATAATTCAACGTTAGTAGCAATAAGGATGTAAAAAGTTGTAACTACTTCTACCGACTATGACAACAGAATCAAATGTTGCATCTAAAGGGAAATCTATGATTATTCGGACCTGTATTAATAAAACAGTCTAAAATTCAAATATATTATAGACTTAATGGCTTGAGATTAAAAGTGATTATGGTTGATGAGACGTCACTACGTTTATCCTGATCTTCTGTTTCGTTTCATAATAGCCAATGAAGAATGAACTTAGGAAATAGTGAATATTTATTTATCACTGATTAGAATATCGGTAATTGTCTTACACATCTGTGAATGTCAATAATATGTGGGTATAAGTAACCATTTATTAATAACTAGTACGACCGTCCAGTGCTTTCAGGTTTTCAGTGATGGTCTAGCTTAGATAGACTCGTGAATTCGACTATTAATAACTAATTTGAAAATTCCTCTACTGATATAAATCGTTTCCAAGTCTTAGAAAAACGACTTATCAACGAAATTTATATTAGATACAAATGACTTCGAAACATAAAAGTTCGATGAATACTTATTTAAACTCTAATTGTTAATATTTTATGTCACTCTAGTTTTACAGTTTATATATATTGAGCTACCTAGTATCCGTGTTCTGATTGTTTCATATTCAGATTGCGTCCCATCAGTTACTGGAGGACAAGTCGATCAAACATGGACTTGTAGGGATGACAAGACACATTTCAAATGGGTATGTTATTAATTTAAAGAATTGATATTTAACAGTTTTTAGTCATCATATATAACTAATGCATTTTGAAATCATTTTAAAAGTTAGGTTATTATTCGACTAATCATAGTGCTTTGCTAGTTAGTGTGTTACATAAACACCAACACTAATTGACTAGTAATTACTAACAGTTTTTGACAGCCATATTGATTTCATATGTTACTTAATGATTGCAAACGCCTCATTGTCTAAGGATCAAAACATTGAAACATATCTCAAGCTCAAATTTAGTTAAACAATCATGTGAAAATTTGTGTATTAATTTATTATATCCTGATGACAGATAAAATAGGTGGATACCCCCTTTATGTTACGCGAACAAAAAAGGTTAGAATAAATTAAGAAGTTATTTTATTGGGAAACATCAGAAGCTTTGATTCTATTATCATGAATAACTTAACAGTGAGGAATGCAACTGCTGGATATCTTTGCACAAACTTCATACTGATATGATAAGAAAACATATTAAATATTGCTAAGATTCTTTAATCAGGTATTGCACTCGAGTAAACAAGGAAATTTCTTGTGAATCAATCGATTGATAAAACTTTATGTCGAAGTTAATTTTATATCTAAACTAAAGTTACTTAGACAATCGGTGAAACTCAAGAGCTACTAAACATTTATATTATTTGAGTTTGCAAACCGATAGTAATCAGCATCTTTAACTTTATGTAGAATTAAAACCAGTTCCTTCAAATCTTTTTCCAAAATTGATACATCTATATTACCGAGGAGGAAATCGTCCTTGAGATTGATTGGTAGGTAACCATTACACTCTCCACACAATTAAATATAAATGTTACAGTTTTAAGTAGTTCATCTTATATATAATGGTCGCAAGCTAACACTAGTTTGTGAATGAACTGAACTCGAAATTAAGGAACCTTTTAAAGTCTTACAGACAGAAACAAATGAATGAAATGAAAGTAAGTATAGATATAATAATTTCTATTTCCTAATTAGTTGTAAGCAAGTATGATATTAAGCTGATAGAAATGATAATCTTTTTGACGGCTTTTAGAATCTAAGAAAAGTGACATCAAGTGTTTAAAAATGTATTTGTTTTTCAATAAGAAAGGAAATAAAGTGCATAATTTTTCATGACGACAACTTTACAAACCTTTTAAATACCTTAAGTATTTCTGTTTATTTGTAGAATGAAATACAATCCTTTCGTCCAGATTATTTTCAGAAACAACATTCATCGAATCAACGTTTGACTCGTACATTTTCAGACGATTCAGTAGTCAATGTTCGACAGTTTGATGGTATGTAATGGAATTGTTTTAATAGAATTTTAAGTAAAATGTTAGTGGAAAAAAATTTATTTATTAAAATCATGAACCGATCAATGACAGTGAGAAGCCGTGACCAGTGGAGCTAATCCGTGTCGGTCAGAGACAGGTATCTACCTCAGTACAATGGAAGATGATCGCGCAATTTCGTGGACTGGTTGAGGTTAGACATTAACACCGTTGGATGCCGGCTCAGTGGTCTAGAGGTTTAGCATGCGTCCGAGACCGATAGGTTATGGGTTCAATTAGTATATGGGGGAAGGCGGATACGCACTGCTGAGGAGTCCCTCAATAGGACGAAACGACCGTCCAGTGCTTTCAAGTTTTCAATGGTGGTCTAACATCAATCGTTTGAAAATCTCAATCAAAAACATAACTAAAAACGTGGAAGCATTTGACAGTCGTTTCATCCTAGTATGGAACTCCTCAACATTAATGCATCCTATGTTAACTGTTACTGACCTATTAGACAAATTTTCAACTTTCTAAAATACATTTCATAACGCAGTAAAGCCAACGATAAACGAAAATTTACCAAACGATAAAACAAAAATTATGATGTAAAACTATTCATTCAAATATATTTTGTTTCTTCGATGAGATAGACATCCATATTTGAAGAATATATCAAATAAGACACCATATGCAAAAACAGAATAGAAAATCGGTTATTCATAAAGGAATTACTCATTAATCTAAATAATATTAATAATAATAATATAGAACAATTATCTTAAATTGATAAACATGTATATAAATACAAAGAGAATAACTGATCAACAAATAGCCTTGTTTGTTTATAAAAATGATATTTTGTTTGTCCACCTTTAACAAATAATATTCATTAACTGAATTAATGATCGGTATTGTTTGAACCAATATAAATTAAGGTCATATGAATGTATTCTTTTGAAATAATAAATTAATAATTAACGCAATTAAAAAGAAATTTTTATGGAAAATTCATACTAATAGTAATGTTATTTCACTGGTTGAAATCATGAGTCATTTGAAGCTAGAACACCATGGAGAGCCTGGAAACAGTAGACGGCCGTTTCGTCCTAGTATGAGACTCCTCAGCAGTGCACATCCACGATCTCGCCTCTCACGAGATTTGAACCCAGGACCTATCAGTCTCACCCCAGGCGCTTAACCAACTAGACCACTGAGCCGGCATCCAGTGGTGTTAATGTCTAACTTTAACCAATCCACGAATTGGATTGGTTAAGCGCCTGGCGCGAGACAGATAGAGCCTGAGTTCAAATCTCGCGAAGGGCGGGATCGTGGATGCGCACTACTGAGGAGTCCCATACTAGGACGAAACGGACATCCAGTTTTTTCAGGTTTTCCATGGTGTTCTAGCTTCATTTGACTCATAATTTCAACTAGTGAAATTTCTAAAATCTCCACAAAACCCCTTCTGATAGTAGTTTTATTGTAAATAATATATATATATATATATATATATATATATATATATATATATATATATATATATATATAATTTAAATTTAGAATTTTTCATCTTCAGAAGGGAAACGTCATAAGTAGCAAACAAACCAAGTTTATTAGAATAAGAAGGAAACAATAAAAAAATTGGTTAAATCTAAATATTTTGATGTTTAATTCATTGAAGATATAAAGGATATTTAAAAGTTACACTCTGGTACATGTAGATTTGAGTAAAACTTCAATTAGAATACTGAAAACTAAGGTATTCTAATTTTACGGATCTCATCTAAATACTACCATCTCTCATCATTTAGATTTTTGAATTCTTATTAAAATAAACTTTTTACCAATTGTCTATTTTAGTGTAAGTAGGTGTATTTTGAAATATGTACACTATAGTTATTATAACAATTTGTACATAAAACCTATTTATCCGATTTGCATCTCAAAAATACTTAACATATTCTATTAAGAGAGTGAATATACTAACGTTCCTTCCTCTTATCTTCTCTTTGAATATCTGGATAATAGGAGTATAACATGAGTTAATACTAGTGTCTGATTTTCAGATAAGCATGAAGAAAATATAGCATTATAAAATATAGATACATAATTTGGTGGATATTCTTGCATAAGCTGATTGTTATTTTCGTTTAAAACTGACGTTGTTTTGATAAACAATTGTCTTTAATGAGACGTCATGACTTATCGAAATGACCAAATCAGAAGTCGGACAGTAAACAACCGATGGTGTCGCACAATGAATCGACTAAGAATATAAGATTGAGACTATTGTACTTAACTTCTGAGCTCAAAAGCATCATATTTGATGTAACCCCCAAAGGTTTATGTTTATATTTCATGTGATGTTCCGACTCCACACTGTTTTAGAGAAATAAACAAGAACAAAATAGTTACTTAACGTCCTATATTTTAAGCGGTTCTCCTACTGATGATAACTTATTCCATAACAAAACTTCATTTTAGACTTCAATGAGATGAACTATTTTGAAATAATTGAATTTATTTCACAATAAAAGTTTTAAAATGAACCTTTATCTATCTAGCTTTTTTTAACCATTTATATTTTTGATTATAGTTGGATATACAGCATTATGTGCTTATCCAAGTTCACCACATAATCATTCTCAATTTATACCGATCCAACCAGATATAAATTTCGATTCATATTATAATGAACAGAAAACAGCCAATCATCTCTTATTTAGTCCATACTTGAATAGAAAATCACAGGTATCAAACAGCGAAATCAGTAATTTCGATAATTCAAAAGTTCCAATACATTCAACATTATCCATGCCTTTTACACCATCTGGATTATCAACTGGAAAAAGAGTTTTGGCGCCAGGTTCAATCATTGAAGCAACCTCTTCTTACTATGGTCCTATAGGTTTAACTAATACATGCCAAATATCATATCCATCTATGCAAACAATTCCATCATCCTATGATATTGGACAAAATTCCAATGGATGGATTGAAAAATATGAAGAATTTGAAAGTGATAAAGAATTAGCAGCACTTTCAAAATTAACAGAGAATTCATGTAATAGTCGAAAACCAAAATTAGCAGATGCATATGCAGAGAATTCTTTTGTTTAAATTATACACTTACTCGTTTCAACTGTTTTCAATTAATTTGTATATTTTTATTTTTAATTTTTAAATCATTTCTAGACATTTTTCATCACTTTTCACATAAATGGAATATCCTCCCAGTCAAATACAGGCAAAATGAAGGTGTTATGTTTGCATGTAGTACTTTTTAGATCAATGTGATGTCATTCTTTTCTTCTTTTGTACTTATTTCTTTATTTATCAAAGTGGGTCTCTTTTTCTATGACCTTGTATTGTTCCTGTACAGTAAGTGAAACTGAATAATATAAAAATAATTAATTCTTTGTAAATTATCAATAATAACTAAGTAATTACATTACAAGTTTGACATTGTAAATCCTGTTATTCAGTTCATGTGTCTTTTGAAAGATGACGCTTAACGTTAGTCATTTTAAATTATATGCAAAGATGGATAGTAGCTAGCAGTTGAATCCAGGACGCGTGTTTCGTCCTATTTGAGGCTCGTCAAGTGAATGAGAAGATTCATGTAAACAATACCAACTGTATTTTAAATTATGTTAAAGTGTTAAAGTATACAGTATTTTAAAAGCATATCGAATGATAGATTATTCTAGTGTAATCATTTTATAGGATATATTATAATTATTTCACTCTCCACACAATTAAATACAAATGTTACAGTTTTAAGTAGTTTATCTTATATATGGTAGTCGCCAGCTAACACTGAACTCGAACTCGAAATTAAGGAACCTTTTAAAGTCTTACAGACAGAAACAAATGAATGAAATGAAAATAAGTATAGGTACAATAATTTCTATTTCCTACTTAGTTGTAAGCAAGTATGATATTAAGCTGATAGAAATGATAATCTTTTTGACGGCTTGTAGCATATTATTTACCATAAAAGTTTGTTTCATCGTTTATCTACAAAAAATCATCAGGATCAGACTATAGCTTCAAGTGTAAAAGTACATTAATCTATCAAGCCATCAGGTTCACAGTGCTAATTAAATCTTATCAATTAACTTACCTATATGAAAAAACATAATCCAACATCGTGAAGCACTCTGTTTAATAACAGGTAAATCAGTCAATCAAAATTCTACAAATAGGTTATTATTATACTTATCGTTCTCAAGAAATGTATCGTTGTAAATGATAAAGTTTTGAAGCTGTAGAGAAAAATATTATTCTTCATAATTTTAGGTATGTTTCGTTAATTTCTATCATCTAAGATAAAACCTAGGTCCAAGAATTCCTGTCAGCCTCCTTCATCTATCTAATACATTTTTAAGGACATTAGTTTAAACTACATCTGAAAACTGTTCTCATTCCAAATTTTGGATACATTAAAACAAATGTTTAGTAAAAATTCAAAAAATTCTTTAGAAGCAAATTCAGCCATTTTAATAATCCATCTGATTAATCCGACATTGTAATAATGTCTAATATTTTTTTAGATGTTCATTGTATTATCAGTTTAAACGTACCAACAAACATTCTATACAGGAAATTTATGATATTTTTGATATTATAGACTTCAGCTAGAACACCAACTGAAGTCTATACTTAAAGCAATTGAGAAATACGGTATATTTTTTACAGAAATATATATTTATTCTGCTGTATACATTAAGGTTTCATTATCCATGATAAATTATTATTTTAAATAATATAGAGTTGTAGATGGTTATAGTTTATTTCGGCTTCATATATACATGAGAATTATTTTCGACATAGGTTGTATTCATCAACTAAACTCGACTAATCTTTTAAAAATATGTGTACAGTAATAAGACTAAAAATTAAATTGTTATAACTTGTGGGCTTTTCGTTTATTAATATATAACAAAATGATACCAACAATTAGAGAACGATGATTTATCGACTAGAATAATCATACATAAAACCTGTACAAGCAATCTAGAATGCTTATCGGTCCTTCTTCCTCACTAGACCTTCCTGTTAAGTTCACAACACCAATCTCAGCCTCTCCGATATCAATCATGTATTTCAAACATACTGGGTTTACATACAAAACAAACAGACAACATAGTACCATAGAATAGAAAATAACATTTGTACAAGATTTATCCAAATGTGGCTGTGACTGTGGGAGACAGTAACTGATAGACTGGGCATAACTCAACAATGGTAAATCGTACAATAATAGTCTATGAGTCAAAATAGAACTTATAATAAAAGGAACATGAATATGGGTAGTTTAGCTACCTAACAATTATACAATAGCAATACATGTATCGTATTGGTTCATAAATAGTTCTCAAAAGTTACCATTCATTATTCTTGTCGGGATATAACAACCCCCCGTTTTGAAAAATCGAAGTTTAGATACTGACGTTAAGTCTTCTGACTTTATATATTATAGGGTGTTAGTATGCATATATATACTAATGAAAACATTAATTTGACGAAAACATATTACTGAAATATTAGGAACGAAATTTATGATACCAAGTCGGACTGAAAAAACGAACAGTCAATAAGGTTTACATTGAAGAACAAAGGAATAAATTAGCCAAATTCATTGTGTGATATTCGAAACAAAACTTTGATATAAAGTAGTATATCCTGTATCATTTAAAATTTTCAATTTAAAAATCTGAACCGTAGTATTATGATTTATTGATCGAAAAATAATCCTTTTACACTAAGAGCTTAATGTTTGAGTTTTAGACCAATAATCAATCCATAGTTGAATACATCTGTGGAGTCACAAATAAAGACAAATTAATTGTCCAGTCCTTAGTACTTCTCAGTGGACGACTAAATGACTCCAGTGGGTAACGTAAACTATGTTTACACTTTATTATGTTGGTTCTATAGACTTGCATGATGACCTAATTGAGTGTAACATTTTTCACAAAGATACACCTTAAAGAGGGTGCACATTTTATACAACCAAATGAAGTTGTAAGTAAAATTTTCCATTAATGTTGGCAAAACAAATAACAAAAAGATTATTTTGGCGACCTAAAATATCCAGTCAGCTATGACGTAGAACTAGGTTCATATATGAATCGGTCCAATTTATCATACCACATTAGCACAACAAGATGAACAACAAAATCATAACAGCAGTTACTTCAATGGTAATAATATGTAAAGGTTTATGAATATAGAGATATGATACATGGAGAGACAATTAGTCCGTAGAAAGAAACGTTTAAAGTGATTTTAATCTCACGATCTATGAGAAAACTAAACACTATCTGAGCTATTTTTTAGCAGAAAAAACATCATTTTAAAGTAAAGATCATGTCTAATAAACTGAATTTATTGAAACGCCCATCTTGAAACAATATGAATTTTTAATTATCATGACCTATGTATTGACGTTCATTACCAGATAAAGCATTCCACAACTTTCATTGACTACCAAATATCTCTGCATAATGAATTAATATCTAAGGATAAACTTAGATTTTTGCTTTAGATTCCTCAAGACAACCATAAATACGTTACATACATAAATTTCTTACTTTTATCATATATATATATATATATACCTCAGATATATAACTCCGATCACTGTAACGAAACAGTTAAGCAATTTGTCACCCAAATGGACTGCATTAACAAAGTTAATCATTCAAGTTAATTTAACACAGGAATTTTCATAACTGGAAAAATCAATAATAACTCATCAGTTGGTCGTATAGTTTTACACATTGTATTTTACATTTATAGCTCATTTAATTTACAAATGTCACGTTTCCAGAGCAGTATAGGATTTTTAAACGTGATAATTTCTTGGAGAAGTTCAATGGTTATATTCACTTCTAACAACAAAGAAAACTGGTCGTACTAACAAAAGGATAAATTATTAACTTTGAAACTACTATATATTAGAATATATTTTGTTTTGTTTTATTTAAAGATAGCAGAATTCCCTCAACAAACTTACCATAAATTTCAATAATGATTAATTAAATTAGGTCATTGTATTAATTCTAATATCTGTAAAGAAAACTAATTAATCTTCAAAAAAGAAAAGGACATTTTCCCACAGATTTTAACAATGTCACTTAAAAGTGAATGTATAAACGTGCTCTTAGTTTACTAACTCTTTCATATGAAATAGTAGGTATTCAATATTTAATATTTTTAAATATGTACATACACTAACCTGTTAGGAACAACATACAACTAAAAGATCTTGATCGACTCCAACCTAGTTATAATTTATAACTCTCTTGGAATAGTGTATTTTTTCGAGTTTTTGAATATTTTTGTTTACAAAATCTTGAAAAAATTTTAGTAATTTATATTAGCAATGTTATAAATTCAATCCGGAACTTTATATTTTACCAGAGAAAAAACTAGATCTCAGATATACGAAAACATTACATTGTTTTTACGTTCCGGTATTTTATGCAGTCTAGGGGGATAGAAATATGAACCGTATAATTTGCTATTACAGTTAACATAATGATGATTAAGATTGTTAACTCCATAATCACATTTTTTATACTGATAAGATTGATTTTATAGTCCTCAAGGGTTGAAAAGACAAAGATTTCCTACGTTCTAGAAACAATAGAAGATCCGTTTTCGATAACTATATGATTCCATATTATTCACTGAAGTTATTGAAAATTTTAACTGAGCACTTAAACAATACTCAAACATGGAAAGATGACCAAGACAAGATTTAGTGACATATTGAACAAATTTTCGACTACCATCAGTAACATCTCTAAGTTTCCACGATAAAATGAATAATATTTATTCATTTTAAAGATATCAATTAGTCAAATGATTTACTATTAATCAACTCAGTATATCGAACTATCATCAGATTAGTTATGTTTCATGTTTCTGTGGTTCAAACTTGTTCATACTACTTGTATCATTTCAAAAACAAAACACCAATTTTTACACAACAGACAGTGTTACAAAATTTCAATTAATTAATAAAATAATAAAATTAGGCTTGATGTTTTAAATGGTAATTCATTGTAATGTACCATTTTATTCGTATCAGATCAGTTACATTTTTGAAAATTAAATTCATCATATTTGGTTCGTTAATACATTTGACACAACTGAAACATCTGGTATAGATTAGTATCTTCCTATCATTGCCTTACATATGACATAGGTGTCCATTCCTCTGATAACAATAAACATCTGTACATGTATGTGTATGTATGTGTGATATTTGCAAGTTGACCTTAAACAACATTATGTTTTATATTTTCGAGATTTAGATGGTGGTTGGAGGTAGTCAACAGGAAACCCTGTACCCGGATTTCGTGCTACTTGACAATCGTCAGCAAGGTGTACCTGTAATCTTGAGGGAACTGGTGCTCCCTGGCGGATTCGATCTCGTGTCACCCAGCTCCACAGTCAGAGA